CTTCTTCCTTCACATTCAGAAAGGGGATCGAGCGCAAATTCCTTTTGTCACGTGATCAGCACAACGAGAATTGACGAGGTATTCGGGAATTTTCATATTTCGCAGGGGTAGTCGTGATGTATTCCGGTTTGATTACATCAACGGGTGCAGGAGTAAGCTGTTCACGAGTGGGATTGGGCAGTAATGAGGCGTGGTCAGAGAGAGAGAGAGAGAGAGAGAGAAACGGAGAGTGAAAGGAGGGAACAGGGAGAAGTTTAGTGTGAGGTTGTTTTTTTTTCTGTAACGGCAGCTCAGTTATTGACTGTTGGTCATAAAAGTTCTGAAAAGCACCAACGTCTGGTTCGTTACTGTTGGATGCTTGTTGTGAGCAGCCTCCTCCAATTCAAGCTGTTGTTGTTTTGGCCCCATAAAGCGGTCTGACTTATTAGTCATTTGTGAAAACACCAGTAAAAAAGCATCTGGAAAGACTACAGGTGGCGCTAGATGAGCATGCATTAGATTTTGTGGGACTTAGAAAGTAATGTGTATTAAATTTCTAAGGTTTTTGTTTACACTCACACGTGGTGAAATCCAGAGTAGTTTTAATGGTTTCACACTCAAATTAGTTAATATGGGATTCAAACCCCCATCGAGAGGTGGATTAGTTAACGCACATTAGTTGAGGAGCGAGTGCGCTCTGTGAACACAAACAGGGAATCCTGTATTACGTGCCCGTGTGAACACAGCATCAGTCCACTACTCAGCTGTATTTATGTCTATATTCTGATGCCATAACAAGTCTCCGCAACAGACATGGCTCTAGTCCTTTTCCTAAACATTTCTTTCTTCATGGGTTCACTCCTCTGAACCATTTTATCCAAACAGAACCAAACTCTTTCCTGTCGAAACAACAGAACATTGTACAAAGAACTTAAGGTGCAAGTCTCCAACTGCAGGCCGGCATTCAAAAGTATTAACTATTTAGAACGAAGTAAAAGTACACGATGTGATCAACTTGAACTGTGGTCCCCAGTTTGTGTGGATGACCTCATCAGTTACTGCAGTTGGATGGTAAATACAATACTAGATTGAGGTTGAGACAGAGCCAGAATCTCAAATAAGCGATTGGCGCGAGTATAACGACATACAGAATCAAAGTGAATGGCACGAAAACACGCAATTTATTCCACGCGGCACATTTGCAATATCTGACGTGACGCGGATGAAGCAAAATCCGTGCAGTGATACTATATCATACAATCTGTGCATGTTTTACTACTGTACTCTGTCTTAGGTACCACTGGGACCGGCTGTCATCCAGAAGGACCTCCTGGAGGATAAAGTCAAATTCACTCAGACACGGTAGTGGCGAGTGATGTTCGTGGTAGCGCTCACAACGCTGCTACGTTTAATCAGGACTGGAATAAAAAACAGGAGAGACAGGGGCTAAAGTTAGCCAGGATGTGGGACTCTGTGGTAGTTTATGAGACTTTTGTGGCTTGTTTTACTACTGTGAGGTACCACTGGAACCAGGTTGAGCAGGTTGAGAAATGAGCGGACAAATTTAACTCTCCCGCGTGTCATTTTTTAGGGGTGCAACAAGAAAAGGAGGCGATGAACCAAATCAGGGGTGTCTAACTCATTTTCACCGGGGTCCGTTGTAAATAGAAGACTGTATAGATCAGGGGTCCCCAAACCCCGGTCCGCGGACCAGTACCAGTCCAGTTCCTAATTTTTCGCAGTAGGACACAGTGAAAAAATGTTCCTAATTTTTTACTAATTTACTTCATTCAAAGAAAATCCACCATATCTATTTACTTTCCTTATTTAAAGATAATCTGGCAATATTTTAAAATCATAGGTCATTCAGATTCTGATACAGTAATAATGGGTGGTACTGGCTGACCAGTCCTTGGAACAAAAAAGGTCAGGGACCGCTGGTATGTATGTAACTACTCAATAACAGACTAATACATGTTTTTGCAATTGATTATTATTTATTCAAGCTACAAATATTTTTCATTGCTGTGCAATAAAACGTTTAATTTCATTGGTTAAAAAAAATTCTGCTGCATGGATTTTACTAAATGCTGTTTAAGCTCCCGCGGGCCACACAAAACGGCTTGGCGGGCTATATTTGGCCCCCTGGGCCTTGAGTTTGACACGTATGATCCAAATTGATCAATCGGCGCGATACAGGTGTTTCAATTTTTTTTCCGCTTATGGGGTGAATGTCCCATAAAGAGAGCAGAAATGAATGCATATCACTAATCAATGTCAGTCCAAGTTGCAAGCATCCCATTTTTTTCCATCTTGTTCCTCTCCTTCAGTTTAACTGTAGCCGAACACAAAAATGCTACTTCTTCCTTGTCCACACTCTCTGCCTGCTGTTGCCACTGTGAGGCCAGCCAATCATTCAGCAAGACAGATCTTTGCCTTTGTCATTTAACGTCCCTTAGGAGAAGACGCCTTTCTCAACCAGACAAATGTGCGACCATCAACACTGCCCAGAGCCAAATAGTTCTTTTTCTTTTTTTTATCAGCAGTCAGAATGTGAGTCTGCCCAGAGCCAAATAGTTCTTTTTTTTTTATCAGCAGTCAGAATGTGAGTACTTAGTCGTTGTTGTTCCACCAGGTTTGCTGCAGAATGTGTGCTCGCTTGTCATCCACGTTTGAAATCATCCAACGTGGCATTCACGGCATTAAGACCACCGGGTTTAGACCGATTTCTTTACAGCTTCTTCTTAGGTTATCCATAGGCACAAGGACACACTGATTCAAATGCATTTGAAGAAAACACAGAACAGACAATCATATCTATTAGACGTAGGAGTAATTACATGTAAACTGATGTACATGCACACCGAAGTTTTATAATTGGTGATTTCAAACAAAGCGAAAGCTGACTGGTGATTAGTGCACAGCTGGATCTGTAAGCATTGATTTGGACACTTTGATTGGCTCCAACAGATCCTGCCGGCCTACAAGTGTTGGCAGTGATGATTCCCATTTTTCTCACTTAGTTAATAAGATTTCACCTTTTCATCCACACAGATGTTGTTAGCCAAATGTGAAACATGCATGTGCTAAATGACACATTACACAAAACAGGAAACAGTGGGAGTCGGCGAAGTGATTCCAGAGAGTCTGCAGTGGTTATGCTGGTTGCGATTGGGGAAAAAAGTAGGGATGTCCGATAATGTTGATATCACGTTATATCTGTAAGAATAGTTATTGGTTTTTCCTTTACCGATATTGAAAATCCGATATTGCAATGCCTGGTTTTGCCAAATGATGTGTGCCGTAAAATTGTGTTGGGGAAAAACGGCTGTAAATGAAGGTGAAAGCCACTAGATGGCAGCATTGCAGCTCATTTTATTAATCTATTTAAATATTGAATGCAGAATGCTGGTGCCAGCAACTCAACACAGTGGTTTGTACAGATAAATTAATAAATATTATCAGGCCCTTAATTGTTTTTTAATTCGGAGATCGGTATCGGTTGATATCGGAATCGGATTTTAATTCGGAGATGTACATATCGGTATCGGTTGATAGGATCGGAATAGGAAATTAAATGTTTGGACAACATCGGCATATTGGATATCAGCAAAAAGTTAATATCGGGCATCCCTGGGAAACAGTACACTGGTGTTACCATTTTAATGTTCCTTTTATTCAACAGCTGTCTTAAAACCACACCGTTTGCCACTACGGTAAACCCAGTCATCGAGATTGATGCCAGATTGAACCATTCTGAGCTGCTGAAATGCCAACCTGCCATCTTTAAAGAGCGACTGAATAATGACATAATAAAAAAATTAAATCTGCTCACGGGAGATGTCCTGTTGCTAAAGCTAAAGCATGATATAGACGACAGTCAGCGGGGCATATCTCTTAAACTGCTGCCTTGCATTTCAATGTGTGTACTGCAGGTGTGACAACAGACCTGATAGGGATTTTCCTGCTGTCTTGCAACCCTCCCTGTGGAGCAGATGGGTGTGGATCTCCAGCTTTTTGTATGTGAGCAAAACATATATATATATTTATATATATATATATGTATGCATATATGTACATATACATACATATACTGTATGTTTATGCATACATATATACATAAATATATATACACATATATATGCATTTATACATGTACATATATGCATGTATATGTGTGTTCTGTGCACATGTTCATGTGTGTAGGCCATGACTCAGGTGTGTTTATTGTCTCTGAGCAGTGAGGACATTTGCATTAGAGCCCCCTAATCTTCCTCCTGGAGGCCAGTAATTCTGTTACCGGTGTCAGTGATGAAGGGATTGCAATCTCTCGGTTAACCCTCAGCTGAGCATTCATCAATCTGGTAAACATTTTACAGTTTGGTTGCTTTTTCGTTACCGCTCCAAGGAAGGAAGGAAGGAAGGGTTAGCAATCATCATCTAACCCCCCCACACACATCTCCCCCCCCCCACTCCCACTCCTCTGCTCATGCAGCGACAAAGCAGGATTCCATTTAGTGGGCATACGAAACCACAGAGCTTTTTTTTTTTATTTCAGATTCCACTTGGAGCTGCAGCAGCTGGAGATGCACAGCATGCATTTAGATGCTGTCTGTCACAGACATCATCACCCTCCAGACTGATCCAGTTTATTCACATTTCAGAAAAAAAGCGCCTGACTTTTAGGATTTCTTTTTCTTTTCATCACTCTGTTGGTCAAACTCTTTGCTGTTGTTGGATGTATTGATCGGGGGGGAAATTGCTCACAAATTAACTGGAAGCCAATTCAACTCCACACACTGAGGCAGTGCAGTGTCTCCCCATTCTATTGATCCTACCCATAACAGATGTTTGAGAAGCCCCGATGCTTTTTTTTTTTTTTTTTTTTTTTTTTTTGGAGCATCATTAACGTCACCCATACACCTAAACCCGCGAGCCTCTGGTTTGGCCGATCAGTATTGTGATTATTGGCGTGTGCGAGCATGGTCTGCGTGGAAGCGTGAGCCAAAAAAAAAACTTACCCCGTAGATGACAGTGTCTTCTCCTTGAAATATTGGGATGAACTTATCTCCACGGATGGTTTCGGACTGATTCAATGGACGAAACCGGCACAACACCTTTATATTGCACTCTGCATTTGTATCAGCCATCGTGGGAGTGGGATTTAGAAAAAAATCTGGACACGCTTCCAAAAAAAAAAAAAAAAAAAAAATTGATAGATTGATTTATGGAGGAGTTCGCTTATTTTAGAAAAAAAAAAAATATCCTTTGCTGTAAACCACTTGGACGAAGGACGGCACCAACATCGGTTATAGCCACATGAGGAGCGAAACTGACAGGCGAGGCATGTCTGAGAAAAGCTCTACTACGAGTTTAGGATTTAGGAGAGAGAGAGAGAGACAGCTGCCAGATTTACTCCATAAAGAGATGACGGGTGGGGGGAAAAAAACCCCAGAACGGACTGAAGGAAGGGAGGATGGAAGCTTCCTGTTTAACATGCACTCAAGGCGAAGTCAGAGGCAGGTGAGAAAGAAACGATAAAAGAGTTGGAAATGTGGAGGGGAGCGCGTCCGGCGACGTCTGGAAGATGCTCTGCGGGCTCCTCACAGGCAAGCATGTCTCCCAGTCATCAGCGCTCTCTCTCTCTCTCTCTCTCTCTCTCTCTCTCCCACTGGAGGTGGAGCCAATGAAGTGGCGACTCCTGTCTGCTCTCATCAGCACCACTGAGCCCAGCAGGAGATAGTGAGAACCCTGCTACTTATTCCTGTTAGAACAACACTTCATTAACAAATTGCTCTCAGATCACACTATATTTAAACAGGCTGATGTGGTTTTTTTTTACAAGCAACAATCCTTGATATAACGACGTTACAACATGCCTACCGAAAAGAAATCCTAACGATGTCCCATTGACGTTGACCTTTAATGACCTTTTCATTGAGCCCTGGTGCAGTGGTTCTCAAACTTTTTATACTTTATAATACTCTCTGAGTACCACCATGATGACCAACATTAGAATACAGCAGCATAGGCCTTCCCTGTTATGTTATTTTATTATATTCAATTAAAAAATGTAAATGTGAAAATATGAATTTTCCCCACCTACCACTGGAGAGCATTCAGTGGTACGTGTACCACAGTTTGAGAACCACTGCCCAAGTGCAAACCAATAATTTACAATGATATGATAAGGCACTAGAGATTTGGGATTCTTAAAAAAAAAGGAAAGTTCTAGGTCTGGGCCCATTTATTTGAAAACTTACCAATAATTTACAGTGATATGATAATGCACTAGAGATTTGGGATTCTTTAAAAAAAAAGGAAAGTTCTGGGTCTGGGCCCATTTATTTGAAAACTTAATGGACCTGCCAACCAAAGGTCAAAGGTTATAAACCCTGTTATGGATTTATGGATGAGTCTGTTTTCTTTTGATGGTGTTGTAGGATAGATGTGATGTGATGGGATGATACGAGATAAAAAGAGATAAGACATTATTATTAAATTGCATTGGGGATAAAATATTCCACATTGATGATTTATATCAGAGTTTATGTGACTGTGTAGTTGTTAGGGACAGATAAAGTTAGTTTGTGGGCTGAACATATGTTGACCATGTATCCCTGTACTCTACATAAGAAATGGACATAGATATAAAGTCCCAACTTACCCCCAGAAAGGTCCTCCACTTCTTTTATAACTCTATGCTTCCAACTCGAACAATAGCATCATTTGAAAACATTTCTGAAGAGTTTAGAACCTGCAATGATCTCCTAATTTCAGTTTATTTACAATTTACTTCCTCGCTATGAAACCTGGGCTTGTTTAGTTGAACACAACCCTGGATACACTCAGGAATTGAAGAAAGGAGTTGCCTGTCCCTCTAACCTTGACGAACAAAGACAAATCATTTACAGAGAATAAATAATGGGTTTCAGACCAATTAAGCAAAATTGGACAGTTTTCCATTGCACTTTTGATCATTTCTCACTAGTTGTGCTGCGGCACAGCTGGTTGGGAATCACTGCCCTAATAGAATATGATGTCAATTTCTTAAATTACAATCCTATTTAGAGGCAAATCGTGCAGCAGAGCAATTCCAATCTTCTTTTACAGCCTCACTGATGGCTATGAATGACCATGAGACTGTTTCTTCAATCGGGTATATGGCTGTATCTATCACTGTGTGCATCAGCAACTGTGGAAGAAAGTAGTGAGGAGGACAAGAAACATAAGGGCTGAGTGACTCAGAGCTTTTTATGCTGCTCGTTTCATTAAACTGAAATCTCATACATTAAAAAATATGTGATCATTACAAATGTGGGTTTATTGTTTATAGTATATGTATTGATGGAACCAAATCTAAACAAGTTCTTGATTGTTATTGCCTTTTCATTTATATAACAAGACTACTTGCATCTAAAAAAAAACAGTCCTGTGTTAGTACCCGTTTATATGGTAGCGTTTTGGGGGGTTTTTATGCAGTTTTTACTAGACATTTTAAGATAAATACAAAACTACTGCATATATTTCGAGGTTTGATGTACAAGCTGGAAAAATAAAATGAAGTGCGAGCTGAATGAAAACTAAATCAGATGGCAGTAAGTCAGGTGCCCTATGAGCCACTTCTGTGAACATTGATTGGACTGCAGGTGAGAAAAGCAGCTCCTTTACTTCGTCCAGGTGTTGCGCAAGACCGGTCGCCATGGCAATACTGTTTTGGAATGATGGATGGCATGCGGAGAATACAGGTGGCATGTAATGATGCTCTGAGAATCCTGTTCAAGAGGTGCAAATGGTTTAGAGTCAGGGAGTTTTGGGCTGACACAAACTAGGATGCCTTTTTTGATGCTCCTTTACATGATGTTTGCATTATGTGTGTGTTTTAAACACACATATATATATACCTTATATATAATCTAAATTTAAGTTGGTGGGAACAAAGACCTTTGTATTTTGAATTAAGATTGCTTTTGCATGGGTTTGGTTTATGTACTATATGAACTGATTTATAATAATAATAATAATAATAGTAATAATAATAATAATCTCGTTTAGTTAAGTTCTATACTATACTCCGTGAATACTATACTCCGTGACAATAATAAAATTCCATATCTGTGGCTCTTTATTTTATGTCAATAATAAAATTCCATATCTGTGGCTCTAACGCCACCCTGTGGTATCTACTCTAGCTACATGTATCTACTCTAGCTGCATTGTTACAGACATAAAACAAACTTCTTCTTTTTTATTGATGGAAATGAAACAAAGATTATTTCCCCATGAATCTTGGGTGTATTTTTGTCTTTTATTCCTGTCGTTGGCATAATCTGGGCCTTCAGTACATGCTCTTTTTACAAATGATTTTGAAACCAACACAGTTAATCTGCTGAAATAACTCACAGAAAGTTCACCTATAGATTTGGCATCAATGTTTTCACATTGGTGTAGAAGCTGGGTTTGTGAATACGTCTTTAAAACAGTGCCCTAGCTGACATTTACCTTTAAACACAGATCATAAAGAAGAACCTAATGACTTTTATGGTTCTAATTGTAACATCTGATCTGTGATGTCAGTGATAAAAGATATTTTTTAATTCTATTAATTTTAGGAAAATTTAGGAGAGCTGATAATCACCTGTAATTCATATTCCAAACTGAAGGTGGCGGTGCAGCTAGACTGGTTGTCAGCCGCCGTCACTAACGAAGCAGTATTGTTAGCCGGCTGAAAGACTGCTGCTTCATCTGTCGTCAGCTTTCTCCAGATTGATACATAATCGAGACTACGAGGGTTTTAAGAGTTGTCACTTTGTGGTGAATTTTTTTTGAGGTGTCTTTGCTTCAGCACTGAACATGGCTGATCCTAAATACGCAAATTTACCTGGAATTGTAAGTGGGTATAATGCTAACGGACTGGATAGCTGAAATTGCTAACTGTCAGGGCTAGCTGTCAGAGCTAGCTTGCATCGTTGTTGTTGTGTTTATATATATTTTTTCTTTATAAAATGCGGTTTAAACAAAAACGAAATATTTTCGGCCACTGACACTTTAATAACATGAAGTGATATGATATATTGAAAATAATTTATTACTTTTCTGTCATGTTAAATATGTGTCGAATCAGCCGGGGCGTTGGCCAGGCTAACGACAGTGAACGGAATGGATAAAGGCTGGTTTTAATGCATTGTGTTCTTATTTATTTTAATAGGCTTTTAACGAACCAGACGTGTATGAGACTGGAGACCTTCCAGAGGATGACCAGGCTCAGTTTGAGTCGGTGAGTGCATGTTTGATTTCCCAGGACGTGGCAGACGGTCGTCTTTTATTTGGCTAATATGCTGAACGCTGAGCTAACGGGACCAGTTTACCAAAGTCTACTATAACTCACTTATTTCCACCAGTATAAAATACCTGGTTAAACCCCGATTGTTGAAATCGAAAATGATTGCATTTAATGAGAACGAATGAGATGCTGTGTATTATCAGCATTTTCTATGTTTTGGGTTTTCCTTGCCAGAGCAAATTTGAACATTTTTGTCCTTTTTTAGTGCATGACAAAATATTTCTGTTCATAAACCAATACGAACATCAGTCTTTTCTGACATGATCTGAAACTCTTACTTCTAATTGCCAGGGTTTTGCACTTGGATATATTGCCACCTGGATTAAGTCGTAGCACTGCTATATATTTCTATTACAGAGTCCTAATGGTATTTTACTTTCTGTGTGTTTACATTTATTTCCATACTCTCACTCTTGCTATTGACTACTCCCCACTCTCCATGGGACTCTAGTTTGTACAAGTAAGACTGGCACATTTTACTCTTAGTGAACTTAATGCCATGCCCTTTATGCATGACGTTTACATCATATCCATTTTTTTCCACTTACTGGGATCAAATGAGAAGTTATTCTTCCATGTAATTTGAGCTTTCCAGAGTGCAAAGGAATGTCCTTTCTCTTTATTTCTGTTGCCAATTTAATCTTTGCAAGGGTGTCATGATGTTCTTTTACTTTACTTTCTTTGTATCCTCTGTTGTGTTCTGCTTGGACAAAGTAGCTTCTTTCAATGTGTGCAGAGCTTTAACAACAGAAAAAAAGTATTTATTTGCCTCCGAGATCTCCTTTAACCTGTCATTCTTTTCCTAACAACACTCACTGACTAACCACTTTGTTCTTACTAACTGAACATATTGAAAGGCATTGTTTATATTGTGTCCCAACATCTTGCAGGGTCTTTGCATGTAACACTGTGGGATGGATTAAACAGAGATCATTAGGAATCCTTTTTGAAGTGTCATTAATATTCTGTATATACTGCTCAAATGTATATGTAGTTACCATTTGAGTCATTGTCTGCAGTAGAGAAACAAACAATTTGTTGTTTATTTTAGAAGTGTCATTAATATTCTGTACATACTGCTCAAATGTATATGTAGTTACCTATCCCTGTAATGGGGCAGCCATTTCATGCTAACGGCATAATTTTACAACAAAGGTTGGATAGTTGTGCAGAAATAAGCGTCCTACTTCATCAATATTATTAATGTGTATAAGATGCATTCCTTCCCCAAACAGTGCTGCGTTATATAGTACAGCATTATTAACACTTGACTGCACAGAGGAGTAACTGTAGACACCACCAAGGTTTCCAATCAATGTCTCCAGGGCTGGTAGCTGCATCTTCTAGAACACTGCTTTCTTTCTTATCTCACCCCGATTGGGTCCAGCTGTTGTGTGCATGGCACGTTATAACCTTATTAATATGTGCTGTCTCTCTTTTTCTCTCTCTGTGTCTTCTTCTCTCCCTATCCTCCTTGCTCCTTTTTTCTTTCTTTAACTCTTTGGAAACCCAAGGAGCTGGTAAGAACTTCACTAACTAACTCCACTTCTCTTTCACCAACACCTACCATTACCAACATCACCACCACCACCATCACCTCCTCCTGCCTCTCCCCACATTTCTGACATCTGTGTCAAAGTGTTGTGGCTCTAGTTTTTTGTGATTTTTTGTCTTTATTACAAAATCTGAATCTGGAGTCACGTGTTCCCTCCATGTGTTTTAACCCACTCTCAGCCTTTAATTTACCAACTAATCATTCTGATGAGTCGATTTAGTGACTTTCTTTAGCCTAATTCCCTGAAGAACTAATGAAAGAGTCATTATTTAGAAATATAGATGTAGAAATGTTGAGATTTAGGCTAACTTTTAACCTTATAATTCAACCGTAGTAGATTAAAGCCGCAGTAAGTACACTTTATATGTTTTTAATAATTTATTACGCCTTTAAAAATGGACCATAACTTCTGTTCTGATAATGAATAAATCCACCCTCTCTGTTCTTCTAAATTATCTTCAAATCATATGGTTCTTTTCAACACTACTGTGAGCATTGGCTGTAAAGATCCCACAGATTTTCTGGATTTATGTCTCCAATGGTTAATTATTTCTGAGGGTATCTGACCTTGGTGTGTGCTAATACACCCAAAGACTCGGGCCAATAATTCAGTGTCTGTAAAACCACCGCTCCTGGGCGTTGATCCAAGCGTTTTATTTTTGAGGAGATCTTAGCAATCGGTCAGCATATTTCACATCTTTTTCAGAGACATTTTCTGGCTGACAATAATCCAAGGCCAAGTTTCAATTCTATGCTGTCTCCACAGTCTGTGTCTGTGGCCCGTGGGATTCTGCTTCTGTTCTGATCCTGCTTTTCCGATGTGTCCATTGACAGGAGGAGCTATGCAGTGACAGCGTAGAGAGGATTGTGGTCAACCCCAATGCAGCCTACGATAAGTTCAAGGACAAACACATCAACACCAAAGGACTCGGTCAGTTTGGGGTGGTTTTTGGATATTTGACACGACCGAAAAATGTTAGACAACAAGGACTAATCGTTATCGATGTATCGTCCACACAATATCTATATCTGTAGTGTCTTTGGTCCTATTGTTTTTTTTTTTAATATATAGGGTGTTAAAATAAATCTGGCAACCAGAGCGCTGCATTAATCTTAAAGTAGCTTTGCAAACATTGTCCTTAATTCTCATGAAAAAAAAAAAGTTGCCATTAAATTTAAAGGGACTGGGATTAAACGCAGCCTTTTACAATATTTAAGATGCTGTAAGTTAACAGCCCGTTTTAAATGCTGCCTCTCTGTCATGGCTCTGTGTAAACATTTATCCAGCCGTGGCTCTTTAATCGTTCTGGCTCAGTGTGAGTTTGGCACCAACACTAATTTGCTGGTTTGTTGTTTCTGTTTCCTTTTTTTGTTGTTGTTTTTTAGTGGATTTGTGAAAATTGATTTGTCTTTTTTGGCAGACTTCTCAGACAGAATCAGTAGAAACAGAAGAGTCGGGTACGAGTCGGGAGACTTTGAGATTGTAAGTTCATTTTCTTAAGCTGAATTTTAAGCCCTCAGTTTTCCTTCTTCTACCAGGCATTGATTTGTAAATGTAACAACGTTACAATTATTGTATATCACTCACTTAATTTTCAAAGTTTCAAATATAATTTTACTTAAAATTGCCTCAGAATGATCAGTGCTAGATTTGTGTTTTGTCCAGAACTTTAGGAGTGTATGAAATTATAAAGACAACTTTGCAGACCCTCTACCGAATCCAGTTTGCACTTTAATAATATTCATAATTTTCATCCACTTTCATTTCTGTACAGCTTGGAGAAGGCTGCGGGGTGAAAGAAACACCTCAGCAGAAGTACCAGCGTCTGGTAAATGAAATCCAGGAACTCATTCAGGATGTGGATTCAATCCAGGTGAATTTACAGCAACAAATGTCTTCCTAAGCTCAGCATAAATGTACATACCGTATTTTCCGCACTATAAGGCGCACTTAAAAACCTTTCATTTTCTCAAAAATCGACAGTGCGCCTTATAACCCGGTGCGCCTTATGTATTACTTCGACACACAACTGAAGCCCTCGAACCGATTTTATAATGTCAAACCACACAGTGCATCACACATGATGACACACAACTGAAGCACACTGGGAGCCAACAATGACGTTTAACTCTGTTATCACAATGAGAAGATGTTCAACAACAATTATTACAGTCTGGTTGTGTAACCCAAATCCGTGCAACACCCGGAGACTCTGAGTTGTGTTTTTGTATTGTCGATGTATGGTGCGATGCAGCTCGACTCAGACGCATGGCTGTCGATTTTTTCATGGTCAAAAACTCTTTTTAATTCTCCTTTTTTATATCGATACAGGGGGAAAACACTCTCTCTTCAAAACAACATCCGCACTTCCGCACAGAACAGCGTCAAAACAACAATACCGTGACCATGCAGAACAAAAATAGTGACAACCTCCTGACTCTAGAGAGGCGAACAACAACAGCGTCCTCCAGTGTCCAACTTAGGTCACTCCCGTTTTCCACAAATCTTAGTCCCTAGTGATCTGCGACGATCGCTGACTGTTTTTTTTCTCTTATTGCGCCTTATGTATGAAAATAGACCCGTTCATTGATATTGCGCCTTATGGTCCGAAAAATCCGGTATATATTATCTCTGCTGCGACAAAGTGACTCCTTTTTTGAACCAGAATAATGGTTTATGCTGTGAAGATCATTTACAGTGTCATCCAGTTGTAACTGTGGTCAAGTTAACTAAGACTTTTTGTAGAAAACCCCCAAAGTTTATTAAACATTTTGTGATGTTGACATAAAACGATTTCCAGTCAATGCTTTCATCATCCCCGGCTTTGCTGTGTCAAAAAAAAAAAAAAAAAATACTGTCACATCTGTCAAGTAACTATGAGGCCTTTTGTGTTTTTTTTTTTTTTTTCCCTTGCAGTCTGCTACAAAGGAAAGCAACGCAGAGGAACGGTTGACCCCGGTGGTGCTGGCTCAGCAGGCAGTGCAGCTCAAACAGCAGCTGGTTTCTGCGCATCTGGACTCGCTGCTGGGACCACAGGCACACATCAACCTGGCCGATCCAGATGGAGCTCTGGCTAGGTGAGCTGAAGGAAGGGGGACGGGGGGTATAACGCACAAAGACGAGGCATGGGGTTGGTACGAGAGCTGACGCGCGTCTGAGGTTCTGATGGTGTGGTGAGCTGACGGTCAAAGGCTTTAAAGAGGTGACGTTAAAGAGAATGTTCAAAGAAGCCGGACTCAGCGAGGGAACATTTCATGTCCCTCAGAAAGTTGCAGCTCTCTTCTACACGGAGACTTATGGTATTACCATCTGATTTGACTAACAGGGCCATATGTGGACAGCACTTAATACAGATGTTGACCTCTGGTAATAAATGTGTCATTGGTGGTTCTAGTAGGACCAAATCCAAAGGCCTCTGGCTTCAGCTTCAGCTCAGTTTTTTAAATATGAACTGACACCGTCTGTTTCCAGCTACAGATTTGTCTGCCTTTAGTTGGTTGTGTGGTAGAAGCACAGAAAAATGAGTAAATGAAAATTCAAAGGTAATTACTTTATATGATGATTGGTGTTTATATGTTATTGGTGATTGTGTCACTGGCTACAAATAAAAGTGTTCATTTCATTTCACCTTCAGCTCGTCCCGTAATATCAGTGCTCTCCGTTCTATTTGGGTCTCGCTCGAGCTGATATGTGCAAAACCAAAGGGCAAAAAAAAAAAAAAAGAAAGTTAACTGAAGGTGAGGGATTTGACAGAGTTAAGACAGATCTGTCAAAAGCCGACTGTGCACAGGGGACACCTTAAAACAGGTGGAAGGAAAACTCTTCTAAAAAAAAAAAAGATCCTTTGACCGAGCGGCTTTTATCCAAACTTGAAACAAGTGCGAGCAAACCAAAGTTTTCACAGACGGCACAGCACCATGGGTTTATATAAATATTTGACGGTTACTCTTCTGCCTGCCTCTTTGCCTTACTTTCTGAAGGCGCCTGCTCACCCAGCTGGAAGTGGCCAAAGGCTGCCGTGGCCCTGCAGGAGACAGCAAGTCAACAGCAGCCGCCGCAGCGAAGGGCCCAGACGCCGTGGTTCTGTACGAGCTCCACAGCCGACCAGAGCAGGAGAAGTTCAATGAGTCGGCCAAGGTAACAGCATTTGTCACAGTGGGATGATCAACTTTTAAATGTCCAAGATTTCGCCAAGGAATCCAAATGATTTCACGGTGCATCACAGCAAACTGTGAACCAAAGATTGATTGGCTGAGTAGGTTGACTGGGTTTGAGGGTGAGAATCAGTCAATATCAATAAATGTCAATCAAAACAATTGTTGTCGGCTGTTCCTGCATTCATCTTGTTTATGCCTGTTTAGTTGAACACAACATTGATATACTCACAGGAAGTAAATAAATATAAATTTAATTTTTCGGCTTGTAACTCTCACACAGTGACTTAACGAAAGTTAATCTGCAGTTTCAGATCAATTAAGTGAAATTGGATAATTTTACACCTCCTCTTTTGGCGTTCTAATGTCACAATCACTGGTTTAGATGTACGTTGACGTATATTCATTTATTCAGCTGTCAACCAAAGGGAAATTGGACTTGAAATAAACTTGTGTCGATGTTTGATGTTGTTGTTCTGTGCCTTCAGATGGCAGAGTTGGAGAAACGTCTGGCTGAGCTGGAGACGGCTGTTGGCTCAGGATCAGACAAGCAGGTAGAGCACTGTCAAAAAAAAAAAAAAAAAACACTTTTCTGAACCTTTGAGACGAACATGTTTTCATCCCAGTTATTCAGCGTGTTTTGATGCGGCTCAGAAACTGTGATATTAGGGGGAAAAAAATGTCTAATTTTTTAAGTGGCTCTAAAGTTGGTCTCCTCTGGTGTTCTGCTGCAGGGACCTCTGAGCGCCGGTGTACAAGGAGCCAGTCTGATGGTAAGAAGAAACCGTCAGATTGTGTGTGTGTGTGTCTGAAGTGTAGCCAGTTATAATTTCTCAGTTTGTTTATCGCTGCAGTGTCTCTGTGTTTATGTCAGGACACCATGGAGCTGCTGCAGGCCAGGGTCAGTGCACTGGACGCTGCCACTCTGGATCAGGTGGAAGCACGACTGCAGGTACACGACAAGTTCTGCTTTTATATATATGCGACACACGAAGCAGCCAATTCGGAAGCTTGTTTAATTTGTTCTTTTATTGACTTCGTAAAAAATCTGTTTAGAGTGTCCTCGGAAAGATGAACGAGATCGCAAAACACAAGGGGGACGCTTGTTTAATTTGTTCTTTTACTGACTTCGAAAAAAAATCGCCCCCTCTGTTTAGAGTGTCCTCGGGAAGATGAACGAGATCGCAAAACACAAGGCGACGATTGAGGACGCTGATACGCAAAACAAGGTTGGTCTCGTTTCTTTTTAGTACTTAAAGTAGACAAAGATAAGACAAAGGCTGAGATGTTTCGATCTGTACGTGATTAAAAAAAAGCGTCAGGACTTCACAGGTACAGTAGGTGCGGGTGTGACGCGCTGTGTTTCCTCCGTCAGGTGTCCCAGTTGTACGATGTGGTGCAGAAGTGGGACGCCATGTCCACTTCCATACCTCAGGTGGTGCAGAGGCTGGTCGCCGTCAAGGAGTTGCATGAGCAAGGTAACATTTGCCTCGCAGGCCAGAATGAGGTTCATAATTTTAACGGCTGGCGTAGAATGATTGGGCGAAATTAGTAGACCAGGGGTTGGCAAACATTTGGCTCGCAGGCCAGAATGAGGTTCATAATTTTAACGGCTGGCTGGTTCATTATCGGTTGGACGTAGAAAGATTGGGCGAAATTATATCTGATATAATGAAGGAGATGAAAAATGAAACCTAAAACATTTTATGTATGCTGCCATCTAATGGCATCAACTTGGTTCATTATCGGTTGGACGTAGAAAGATTGGGCGAAATTATATCTGATATAATGAAGGAGATGAAACCTAAAACTTGGCACATTTTATGTATGCTGCCATCTAATGGCATCAACTGAACTTACAGTCGATTAGTTGTAACGCATGAAACAGAAGTATCGACATCCGCCTTAACCACACCTTGTACCAGTGTTTGGCCGGCCGGATTAGAAAGCCCAGCGGTCCGTGTCTGGCCCACAGGGAGTAGTTTGTCTGTGCCTAATATAGAGCCTGAAACTGACCGTTTTATTTGCACATTACTCCACAAAATCAGAGTTAACCCACTGCTGTACGTGAATCAACTGGAGCTCAAGAACTGCACCGTGTAGCACACAATCGTACCGTTGTTGACTAGACTCAACAACAAAGAAAACTTGGATAATGTATGTGAGGTGGAGGGTAACCTTGGAGTTACACCCATGAGAGTTCAAGGAGTGGGTGTATGTAGGTTAGTGGGGGAGGGGCTGAGCCTCAGAGGCTGAAACAATGATGAAACACAGGACCTGAACCCAGATCATGATTCAGTTTGGGCAGGTATTTCTGAAAATTTTTTTTTTTTCGTCATGACATTAAAAAGATTCCAATGACTGGAGTTGGTGTTTTTTACAATAAAAATGTATTTTAAAAAAGTAGGTAAATATTAGAGTAAATATTGCAGCAGTGTATTACTCATCAGTATCATTTTTAATTTCTCAAACTAAAGCAGAAACTTGAAATTATTCTATCATATTGATCATTTATGTCTACGAGCAGCTGATTTTTTTTTTTTTTTTTTTTTATCATGAAGCCTCTGATCTGTCATAGTCTGACCAAGAACTATTTTTCATTCAATACTCTGTGCCTTTCAGTGAACGCACAACAATGTTATGAATCACTTTTAACTGTGGATTTGATTCATTTCTACCCACTGTTTTTTTTCTCCTCCCCTAAAACAAAATTACGTAAATACTAACTCTGTGCCTTACTGTGTCCTTGTCTCCTCTGATTTGTTTTTTTTAATGTCCCTGCGTCTCAGCCATGCAGTTTGGTCAGTTGCTGACCCACCTGGACACCACTCAGCAGATGATGAACAACTCTCTGAAGGACAACAACACTCTGCTCACACAGGTTAGAATTTAAAGCTCTACTGATCGGTGGGGACGGATAAATGTCTAGTGATGGTGCTCCACTCCACTGCTACTGTAGTTCAATGGAAAAATCACAACAGCAGGGGTGGAGTAGATCTGCTGCTAGCATTTGATTGGCTCCTGCGAGCAGCGTGTTCCAGGGGTGGAGTAGATCTGCTTGTAGCATTTGATTGGCTCCTGCGAGCAGCGTTCGGGTGAGGTCACAACTGTGTTCCAGGGAAGTGGGAATTTAGTTACCACAGTAACAGATGTGCATGTTTACTACCAAGTCATTCAGTACACGTGTGTGTGTGTGTGTCATCTTTTCAGGGTAGCCATCATGTTGCAATAGTGGAATCTCTGAGAAAATTATTCTGTAATGTGAAGTTTTCTGTCTTGTTTTTCCTATTGTTATTATCTTCAAATTTTCCGTTAATGAAAAAGAAGGAAACCTCCAAATACCGGACTCCCACGTTCAAATTTGTCACCAGTTTTCCTCGTCAATTTCGTCTCCGTCTGCAGACACGTCTCATTATACTCGCACGCTACCGCCGTCTCCACTGCTGCCCACTTATCGTTCCCACTCCTTCCATCCTCTTCTCATGCTGCTGCTGCTCCCTTTTTTTTTCTGATTTTCACTTTTCAAAGCAATTTTTGCTGCCGCTGAAATTCTTCTATTCTTCTATCTACCTCAGCAGCTAAACTTTTTTTTTTTTTTTTTTTTACCCACTCTATCTCCTTCAGGTCCAGCAGACGATGAAGGAAAACCTGGTGGCCATTGAAGAGAATTTTGCTTCACTGGATCAGCGGATGAAGAAACTCTAAATAAAGAGAGACTGAGATCTTTTTGGCCAGCCAATCAGAGTATAGAACATGGACAGACTAGCTGGCTGGGGAGAGCAGGGGGGGAGCGGGGGTTCTGTCCCTCTCTGCGTCTCTGCTCACGCTTCTGCTTTTACAGTATTTCCACAGAGTGGGATGTTAGACAATTTGTAAAAGAAGGAATTAGGAAAAAAAAAAAAATTAAATCAGAGACCAAACGTTCATGTCCATCCTTCTTTTTTCATTATTTTCTAGCATCCAACAAACAACTGAAAAAAAAAAACCTTTTTTTTTTTTTCTTCACTCCATGGTGATAGATCCCTGCTCGACGAGTTTTAGACCAGATTGATTTTATATAAATATTGGTGTTATTTGTTAGAAGTTCTTCCATTCCTTTGGGACCTCACACTACTGTTGGAGTTGTACTGTATGCGTTGGTCAGATTGAGATGGATCACGGTGAAGTTGGATTGACGGATGACACATGAATATGTGGTCAGGTGTGTTAGAAATCATGTTGTCCTGCTGTGGCCTGAACACATCAGGGGCCCAGTCACTGAAGGAAAGATTGTAAATAATATGCCTGTCAACCTTATTTCACACTCAGTCGCCTGTAACTATATGACGATTATTATTATTATTATTATAACGACTGAGACCTGAAGCCAGAGGAAGAATTTTAATCTGCTTCATCATCGCCTTCACATCCACTGTTATTGCTTATCTGTGGTCATGGAACTGATCAATAAATAAAAACACGGTAATATGGATCTGAGTTGAGTCTTCGTTGTGATTTATTATTATTTTGAAACTATTAAAAAAAAATAAAAAAAAGTTTAGGGTTTTGCTTGATTTTACATTAAAACAAATGCTTCAGTTCCAAATCTGTAGTCAGTAATTTGCTGATATTTGACACTGGGTGTCAAAAAAAAAAATATCTGGATTATGTGGTGCTCAAATAGATGTTAAACCAAATTATATTTGAAAAAAAAAACCTATACTTACTATAAAAACGTTATATCCTGTCTTGACCAGAAGATGTCACTATTGTAACGTTTTGTTGAACGTATACTTACTATAAAAACGTTATATCTTGTCTTGACCAGAAGATGTCACTATTGTACTTATTCTTTTTAAAAAGCCCAACAAGACATAGGAAGGCTTAGAAATAACACCACTGCAGCTTTCCTCACACCTCAAACCTTTGTTCATCCACTACAAACCACTGCTGCAGTTGATATCACTGTACAGCTTCTACTTTGTACTGTTTTTGGTGAAGTAACCATTTGTCCTGTAAGGCAAATAAAAGTATTATTTAGTATGAAAGCCAAAATATCAACAAAATAATCTGTCAAGACTGACATCTGTTCAACTTGAGACTTTTTCTAGTTATGGTATATAATTATGTCTCAAGTGAAACACATACGTTTACAAAAAAAAAACAAAAAACTAAAAGTAAACTCAGATAATCCACACTAAATCAATCCAAGAATAAGAACTCTCTCAAGTCAGTCAGGTCTTAACTCATACCTTTTGGTTTTAATGCCTGAGTGACTCATCACGCTCACGGGTTCACTCTGTGGGTCAACGGTCACACCTATCAGGTTTCCAGTCAGGTGGAAGTATTAGTGTCAAAGGTAAACGGATAAGAGTCAACAGATGAGGTCAGGTGCTGCTGATGAGTCATCCACCAGCAGCAGCCGTGTTCATTTCAGAGACTACACCGCCGCCGCCGCTGCGTTGACAGAACCAAATGATAACGCATTCTTACCTGCCTTCTTTTCGCTCGACATATTTTCTTATTTAAATTACCACACTGACGACAAAGGCCCAAGTAAAAATCAGGGGGCGGCAGGTGTTAGGTCTGTTCCCTGTTCCTGCTGTCTGTTGGGTGGAGTTAATCAGCGACATCACTCTCACCTGTGTCTCTGCTCATCAGTCTCACTGGTGTCACCTGGTGCCCTGGGTATATATGCCTCTCTCCCTCACTCTGTTCTTGTTTGATCGTTGTTTGTGTCAGTTTGTGTCCATGCTTCTTGTTTAGTGTTCATGCCCTGGTGTTGATGCTTTGATGGTCGTACCTGTAGTTCTGCTCTTTGTTGCTTGTTCCTGCGACCCTGTGCGTTTTCGTGAAAACAAATCACCTAACCCTGAAAAGAGTCCCCGCTGTACTGCATTCGGGTCCTGCCTGCTTCCTGCCACGACAGCATTTTGAATAAGAATCACACACTATATGGTCTAATTTATGCTTCCCAAAGACTGGGTCGTGACCCTAAGCTGGGTCGGAAGAGTTTTTTTTTTTTTTAATTTCACATCCCTTTAAATCTGAAAGTCTTTGCTTGAGTTGACGCTTCGTCCCACAGAAGTAGCTGTTGAGTTGTTGCAGCTCAGCTGCGATCACACTCTGCAAAGACGTCATGGATCTGTGACCTTATCGTCATTCCAGATAGGTGTTTCGACAGAATATTCTGTCGTCAGCACGACCAGTATTTGGTCACGGCCACGTATATATGCAAATTGGAATTTTCTGTGCTCACAAAAATGCGTTATTTGTAATCCTTTTCTAAGTATATTATTGACTATTTTGTTTTGATATTGCCAGTTCACTTTAATGTTGAAAAGAAAAAGAAGTGGGCAACACTTAATGTCCAAATAGACTATGGAATAGGCCTCTTATGGATACTATTTTACCTTCAAGTACACCTTTATTTTGTGATTTACGAACAATATCTATTGACTTGGGTCGCAAAGGTTTGTGACTTTTAAAATATGGGTCCCCAGAAAAAAAAGTTTGGGAAACACTGGTGTGACACAGCCTGATGCCCAACATGTGTTTACCAGTGCAATGCAACATCACCCACAGCCAAGCAGGACTTCACTCCTCAGTATAATATTAGTATCTTTCATGATAAATATGAAAAATAGATGTGTATATATATTGTGTATATATATTCATATATATTTATATATGTTTTCATGATAAATATTAAAAATAGATGTGTATATATATTGTATATATATTCATATATATATATACATATCCCTATATATATATTAGCATTTTTATCATTTTCTTTTCTAAATGCTAGCATTCATTGGCTACCAAAAATCAATCGCACCCATCTGTCTTTCTTTTTTTTTTTTTTCTTTTTTCTTTTTTCATCAACAAGGCTTTTTGGAGTATCCTGAGAAATAAGCCAATTATATTACATCACTGAAAAATCCTTCCTTACTTGTTTTTAGCCTGGAGCAGGGGTGTCAAACATACGGCCCGCGGGCCAAAATTGGACCGGAAGGGGATTCAATCCGGCCTGCTTGATGAATTTTGAAAATGAAAAAAAAAAGCTTCATAATGTTTTTTCAAATGATACTTCATTAAATATGAACATTCTCTGATATTCTTGTACTAAAAACAAAGGGGGGAAAAACATGGACTTATTGTTATGTATAGGTAATAATGTTACGATTGTCCTGGTCCGGCCCACTTGACATCGAATTATTTATATATTACTATTTATATATAGTGTTTAATCTGGATTAAATTCCTGACTTCTGAGGTCATGGATCTCAGGAGCTACAGCCTCGACACACATGACCGTCCTGTGTTTAACACTTCACTATCTCAGGCTCGGACTTTGAACTGATTCAGACGTCGGAGTTGACCCCGGCTGAACTCTGTGTGTGTGTGTGTGGTCCGCTGATGGTGTAACACCACAGCCATTATCTGGAGGACATCCTTCTTGTGTCACACAGAGGATTAAGGACTGATTAAAAAAAAAATCCCACCTCCTCTGAGTTCCTGTTCCTCTCTGCTCACAGAGGAAGCCGTGGACTGGCCTTCGCGGACCGCGTGGTTTGCAGGGAATTAGATCCAGATCCAACTTAGAAGGGAATGCCCCCCGAAGAGACGTACTGTGTATACTGTATATCAGGTTATACTGCATTTGTCCTACTATTTTGGGGGTAGGTTGAGATTGGGTCAGTCAAAGCCCGGCCCTGTCGGCCGTACCAGCTGAGAATTTACCAATGGGTTCAGCTCAAAATGCTGTTA